GTTGTTACACACTCCTTAGCGGATTCCGACTTCCATGGCCACCGTGCGGCTGTCTAGATGAACTAACACCTTTTGTGGTGTCTGATAAGTGTATATTCCGGCACCTTAACTCTGCGTTTGGTTTTTTTTTTTTTTTTTTCGGAGACGCGCCCCAGGTGACTAGGTCACCCGGATATTCCTTTTGGGTAGAATATGCTTGAACAAGTGATCTCTTCTTAGAACCATTTGGAGCATTCTAATATCACAGTGTTACTTCATACGCCCGAGGATGAGTTTTAATTAAGGAAACTCCCATCCCACGACTCTAGGGTATCACTCCCTAGAGCTGCCTTTGCCAGAGGCCGGCGACTCGAGACTCTTACTCGGTAAACTCCCTTTTCACAGCGCGTGATGTTGCCATAGACTTTACAGTCCCTCGGCCAGTTGTCATAATCACAAAGGATACGACATGAGTACATTGAGTGCCTACATGTCAACCAATGCGTTAGCAATTGGTGTAGCCTTGTAGAGACTGTCAATCGACTTTTGATATAACACAAAAGCTGATTTCAAGAATCGTGCTACGGGGACAAATCCATACAACGCCATATTTTCCGGCTGAATACCGGTTATGTTACCATACCCGTGTTGCCACAGAAACATGAACCTCTGAGCAGCGTTCATTTTCCGTAGTATATCCTTCAGACTTCCCACGATAGGCCCAGAGGCGGAGCAGTATCCGCCCATCAAGTAGCAGGTGACTTTCAAATCTCTTTGATTGATTTCACCCGAGGTTTTAACTTCTTTGCATTTACGAAGCTTGTTGATGATCTCACTGAGGTGATCTTTACGGAGCTCTTTTAGAGCTTTACAGTGAAGAAAGATGTGAACTAATTCATCTTCATTGGTGTCGCCCCCTCGTCTTTCGTCACGACAGAGAGGGCATATCTTTGGACCTAGCCTTTTGGCTTTAGTGGTCAGGGTGTTGGCCTTTTCATGGGCATCATATTGAGTTTTCGCTAGAGCAAGTATTCCTAATCTTGCTTTCACTAGTAGTAGGACACCATCTTTGAGATATGGGTATCGTAGAGCGGCTTTTTGGAAATTACGAGTTAAACCGTACTCGTGTTTTTCATAGTCCATTTGTTCAATTGGACCTTGAAGTTTAGTTTGGGTTAATTCCTTAGCCCATTGATATGCTTTTACGGCAAGCATTTCATTTTTGATTTTCCCAGCAGAGTCTTCATTTCCGTGGGCAGTGATCCAAGTTTTCGGTATATTCTTGGGATATTGAATGGCTTGTGCTTGCAAGCCTTTAATGATCATTTTAGGTACTTCAAGTTCCCTTTTGATGCTTTCATCTATTTGAGATGAATACTGGTTGATTCTTTTAGGAAAGACTGCGGCATATGCACGACAGGTTTCAGAGCGGGTGATGGAGGCCCAGGTTTTCTTTCTGCCTCCTTGAGTTTGACTGCACAGTATATCACATGCATCAGTCATCATTGACGCAGACTTAGAATGAATGCGGTATCGTGCAGCTGCGCATGCTGCCGCAACGGATGGGACTCCAAGTTCCCATGAGAGTCTGACGGGGCATATAGTTTTACATGCCCATTTTTCGCCTATTGTTAAGTAGAGCGCGTGGTCCACTTCTTTTTGTATGATGGATGTTCGTGTTTGATTCATCCCAATCCATTCTCCACCATATAACGCGGCAGAGAGAATGTATGTTTTGATCAGAAAAGATTTTTCTGCAAGGGTTCTGCGAGGATCTTTCAAGATACAAGCATGTTGAGCAACTTTTTTCCGTACTTTTGTTGCTAATATCATTGTGTAGGCCATTTCTGCGTCATAGCCTACCCCGAGGTTGTCACCTATGTCAATGCCTAGGTATTTGTAAGAAGATTGAGCATAAATTTTGCCATCTGTAAGAGTAAAGTGATGTTTATTATCACCAGGATATTGATTTGGATCTCCGTATTTGTCCAAGAAAGCTTTGCGGAGTTCGGGGTCTTTTTCTCCGTGCATGACAACCGCACATTTGGCGTGTCCAATTTTGAGTGTTTGCCATTTATTGACCCACTCTGTAATAATCTGACAACCTTTTTCGAGATCTTCGAGGTTGTCAAAGAAAGCTGCAGCATCATCTGCGTATAGTTTACCAGCGTCATTATATTTTTCGCTGATACCTGGTACTGTAACACCAGCTAATTTATGGAAGAGATCATTTACAAAAATGATGAAGAGGAGGGGCGAGAGAGGACAACCTTCTTTGGTGCCTATCTCCATGGGGTAAGTGTCTGAGATTTCGTCACCAACTCTCATGCGGAAAGTACTACCTTTATAGGTAGTGTCCAGGAAGTTGATAATGTTTTCAGGAATTCCGATGTGGCGAAGTTTTTTCCAAAGTGCTTCATGTGGTACGCTTGGGAATGCCTTTTGAAAGTCAATGTACAAGACGTATGTGGGTTTGTTAATGTTTGCTCTTCGGCGAACAACTTCGGTGAGACAGAGGAATTGTCCCATTCCTTCTTCTAGGCGTCTGAAACCGCCTTGGTCTGGGGTAAAGAAGTTTACTCCGTTTAGTTCTGAGCTCATCCTGTCTTCTAGGATAGTCATAAAGAGTTTGAGGAATGCGGTTGAAAGCGTTATTCCTCGTCGGTTGGATAAGTGTATTGGATCTTTTCCAGGTTTGCTTAATGAGATTACGATGTTTTCAAAATCTCCGGGTGCTGGTGTTCCTTCTTCTAGCATAGTGTTTAGAATTTGAAGCGCTTGAATTCCAGCAGGCGTTTCTAGATCCTCGTCCATATCTTTTATTGGGACGGGATGGTAGACATGATCTAATGGGTCGTAAAAACGCCCAAGATCGGTTTTCATGATTGACCGGAGAGGATCTGGTCTTGTTTTAGAGGGTGCAGGAAGGGTTTTGTCTGCCCATTCCCATGCTGCGTATCTGTCTTCTTCATTTCGTGATACTAATGATTTGACTTTATTCTTTCCTTCAGGAGTTTCGTATTGGAGCACAGAAAGTGTAGGTCTTTTCTTCTGTGATTTTTTGTTTTTGTCTTTTGACTTTGGAGGATGCGAGCCAACATATTGACTTCTTTCTAACTTCAAAATTTCTTTGAAGATTACGGGTGGCACGTTATCATTTCCACGTGCCGCATTTTTGTTAAGCCTGCTGCAGGCTTGTAGGAATTCTTGAGGGGTTATGGGTCCCCCAATAGGTAGTTCTTCTATTTCAGGATCATCACATGTAAGATTTTCCCAATAGGCAGGGTTTTGTGACACTCCGGTGGTGTCGTGAGATAGTGTGCTGAAGTGTTCGAATTCAGCTTTTGCGATGTCTTTGTTAGTGACACATAGATCCCCGTCCTTGTTTTTACACGGCATGGGGTGACTTTGTTTTTTTCCAAGATGGTCGGGAAGTACGGCTTTGATAGCCATATGGAAGTCAAGCATCTCGTTATCAGTAAGATGCTTATTGGTTCTTTCGGCCTTTTTCTTGGCCTGATCTTTTTCAAACTTTTTGATAGCAGTTTTAGCAAGTCTACTAGCTTTTTCAGCGTAGTTGGTTATTTTAGTAAGTTCACTGAGAGGAGTTTTCTTCCCCAGTGCTTCTTGGTAGAGCGCCTTAGTTCTTCTGGCATTCTTTAGGAGGTTTGCTATATTTCGCGGAAAGTGAATAGCACGTGGAGGTTTTGCGTACTTTACGGCACCCCATTTTGATGCGGACTCTACAAGATTAGATGTCCATGCGGTACTTTTTTCTTCAAGAGTACCTGTTGTGGGGAATGTTTTCCAAGCCACATCTGTGAGGACATCAGTTCCATGTCCTTTAAGTACCTTCAAGTCCCATTTTAGACTTGGTTGCGGGGTAGTATTGAATTTCTTTCGAATTTTCATGCTGATGGCTGCGTGGTCACTTGCGCCATTATATTTGAGTGACATTTGTCTACTGACTTTAGTTTTACAAGTAATATCTTGTAATGCGGGTGAAATCAACCAATGGTCAATATCATTGAATTTTCCTCTTTTTGGTAGACGAGTGAAGTTTGAGCCACAGCACGGTTTGATGCTCATGCGGCCGCCAGTTTGTCTTAAAGCTGCTTTTGCTAGCTTTTCTGTAGGCATGTTAAAATCACCACCAATGGCAATTTTGCAGTTGGGATCTTCGTCTAAAAGATCATTGATTTCTTCCCAAACCGGTTTGAGTTGGGTTGTACGATGTTGTCCTTTATTGGAACCGGACTGGAGATATACTCCAAAGATGTGCCATAAACTATCTGGCTCGAGTTGTGTAACTACAAGGTGTTGTATCCTTGGATCTTTAGTAGGCTTTTCATATGCGCCTATGTCATTACGGACCATCATACAAAGTCCGTAGAAACCAGACTCAGCTGGGTGGGAGTAGGTTCGGAACCCATCTAGTTTGGGTTCGTATTTAAGATTAGTTCTACGATGTTCACCAATGACTATGACACCGGCGGTCACTTGCTCCGCTAAGGACGCAAGTATGGTGGCTTTATTATTGTAGCCGTTAGCATTCCACGCAAGAAGGGAGGTATATCCGCGGGTTTTTGTAGAAACCTCGGGAGGTTTGGGTATGGATGTGTTGAAGATAGGAACATCATCACGGTATGATTTATATAAGTTTACACGCCATTTGGTCGTGTTGAAGCAGTTTATGGTATTTTTACCACGTTTTGGTTGCCTGGTTTGGCGACAGAAGATGGGAGGAACACCACTTGGGCGCTCTCTTGGGGTAAGTTGCATCATTTTGATGAACCCTGGTGCGATATCTGGTGATACGCAGATATCAAATGCGGGTTGTTGAAATGGATTACTCCTTTTCATTACTCCAACAACTTTTTTACATTGGGCTTCGGTCAGTCTATGTTTTAGGACTGTCCATACGTCAATACTAGTACAATTTCCAGTATTGTTGAGGGTGAATTTCACTGAATTCTTGATATTATATTTAATTTCAGCTTGTTTTACGCCTTTATTACAAGTCAGCGTAGAGTTGCTTTGCAAAACTGGAGTGTTTTGCGTCCGAGATGGTGTAGTATTCTTTTTTACTACTTCTGCATAGGAGCTTGGAGTTGGACTTGATTCTTTAGGATCAATATCCATTGGTGTGTTGTTTGATTGATTATTTGAAGCATCATTAAGGTTGTCAATGTTCATAGTATCAACCTTGAGACGGCGTGGTCGTGGTTTTGGAATTGTCTGTAGAGGTCTTCTTCCTAAAGATGAAGATTGTGCGGGAGGTGCTCCTTCTGATAAATCAATATTCATTGGTGCGTTGGTAGGATGATTTCCTAATGCTGTGTTTGAATTGGCATTGTTCATTGTAACAACTTCAAATCGGCGTGGTTTTGGTTTTGAAATTGTTTGTAGAGATCTTCTTCCTAGAGATGAAGATTGTGCGGGAGGTACTATATTAACTTTAGTATTGCGGTTTGAGGTGAGTTTTGCAAATAACTCCTGTCTGGTAAGCATTTCGCCATTTCGTTTCTTAGTACGAATGTTGTCTTCCAAGTTTGTCTGAACAGCGGGTGCACTTTCTTTCTGCGCATTTGAGGTGAGATCATTATGATCTTGGTCTGCGTGGCGTATGATATCTTCTATGCCACTTTTTACGTAAAAGGTTTTGTTTTTACCTTTTTTGATTTTATGTACTTCATAATGCTTAGTGATTGTGCTTTGTTGCTTCTTAGAGATTTCTTTTTGAATCTTCTTTTGTTGTCGGCGTTCACGGAGTTGTTTACCTGTGAGTTTTATATCCTTATTAGGATCTTTACGATAAGTTCTACCATTTCTAATAATGGTTTCTTCTATTTGTTTAGGCTCTGAGGCCTTTTCAAAGGGGTTTGCGTGATTTTTACGTATATCATTCACACATATTTGTGCTCTAGGAGCTTTAGACGTATTTTTATTGTCTGCTTTCCATTTACCTTTTTCAAAGTATGTATGAGAGTTACCTGATGTCTCTTGGTCGGGTATTATAGTCTGTGAGTCATGAGATCTCTTTTTAGATGTTGAGGAATTGCTCACAGAAGAGCTTTGGGCGACAATGTTTAATTGTCTCAAATTGGTTGTATTCCCGCTTAATGGAACACTGGAGTTACTTTCCGTCATCAAGTCAATACTGAGAGACTTGTTGATGACGCCGCCAGTAGCATGTGGCAGCCCCTCTCCCTGGTGGACCAAAGGAGGACTGACCCCCAAAGTAACTTTAGCTCGTACATCATCCTTCAGGGAGCAATGAGTACTAGCCCACTCAGTAGCCTTAGTCCCAGAATTGCCCTGAGATAGAGCGACAGATTCTGGCGGAGGCAATTCACCATACAAGTTCAGTCCCTCCACAACTGACAGGGAGCCGGGGCTCATCTCACCCAATCCCGGACAACTAATGTTAGAGGGTGTACTCATCATAGTTGCATTGTGAGTCTGAGAGATAAAGCCCTCTCAGGTGGCTCTAGGACACAAGTTTGCATGTGGTCCTATAGAGATTAAGGTATCCCTGAACCGTGAGCAATCTTCTTGATATGTAGATTGTATGTTTAGTTAGACTCTTTTAAGGCCTAGATGACCAGAGGTTTATGAATGAAATCCTCCTCTATCTTTTCAATTTGTTCATGATTAACATCTGGATCTGTTGGTGTATTAACTTCTGTTAAAGTTAATTAAGAGTCTTCTTTTTAAGATTATATTTTAATGATGTTGTGGTATTTGCTGCGTATAAGATTCCTGAATTTTTATTGGGTAACCTTCTTGTGGGGACGTACCCCTACTTATTTGTCAAGTTAGGGTTTCAGAAGATATATATATTTTTTTGTACAAAAGATTCATATCTTATATTTTTGAAATCTTGAACTAAAGTTCAATTGTGTTTTGTTAATTTGGTAGTTGTATCAATGTTCTTCTCATTATGTTTTTGTTGATAAGTTTTTGTGTGTAAAGTTCATTATGAGGTTTCTCTTTATGTTAATGTTGAGATTATTGTCATGTAAGTTGTATCTTATTACTTTAGTTTTTCAAAGCTTTGTTGGTGCTTGTTTGTCTAAGAGAGTTTTCATCGAGTTCTATGGATAATCTTTTAATTAGTGTGATATCCTAGTTTAGAAGGTGTTGTTATTCCGTATATACAACTGTTCTAACTTGAGTAATTGTATCAGTGTTTTAACACATGAGACTTTTGATTCTTATTATCAGGATGTACTTCTCCAATCCTCTGTACGTATCTTTCAAACAATATTGATATATATTTATGTTTGTGAGGTTTTATGAGATGATCTTTGGGTCTTTCAATCTTCTTAATACGTGTTTCTTCTTTCTTTTTGTATGAAGTTTAGGTGTTTATTTATTTATTTATTTCTCATTGTTTGTGTTGCTATTTTTGCTTTACAAAGTTGTTTATTGATATTTCTTATTCTTATCATATGGAAGTAAAAAAATGTACCTTTAAGGTCATATTTTTGTTATTGTAATGTTATGAGATTATTCAAACTGAATCAGTTTTCATTCTGAAGTTTAGATCTATGTAATCATATAGACATATCTTTCTTTTGGTCAAAGACAAATTCATATAAAGTATGTCTTTACTTTGTTAAGTGCGCATTTTCTCTCATTTTGGCTCGGTGGGTATTTTTTTTTCTACAAGAGTAGGGATTTCAATTCTAACAACTTCACTGACAAGTAATAGAAAACAGCAGAGATACAAATATTTTTATTGATTTTATAGTTTTAAGTAGGATAAATCGTTTAAAGTTATTTTGAGTTGGGATTGGATACATATCAAGGAAAAAGACCGTGATATAAGAAAGAAACATATGGAGTTCTTTTTGTATTTTAGTTGTTAATTCAAAGTTAAAGTTCAAGGTAAAGTTAATGATCTACATTGTTAATATGTGAAAGTAAATAGTTCTTCAAGAACTTCGTTCGATTTTTTGTTATTTAGAAGAGGGACCGTTTATTTGATCTAGACAAAGGTAAAGATCAATTCATAAAGGTTAGTATGAGTTTAAAGTAGTTTAATATGGGTAAGTTAGAGAAGAAAAACTTACTAAGTTGTAAAGAAAATCTAATTTCTTATAGTGAAGTTGCCGATTTTCGATCGAGGCTTTTTGTTAGAAGATGAAGCTAAAGGTGTAGAATCTTCAGAGTCTTCATCTTGATCCAATTTCGAACGTTTAGAAGGAGTAGAAGTCCTTTTAAGACTCTTGATGATACCATCACGTAGAGTAGCGAAGGGACAACCAGTCGAATGAGAAGCGTTGACGGATGTAGTTCCACAAGTTGGACAAGTAGGAACATGTCGAATTTGAATTAGGTATAGATCGTCAGTCTCCTTACCTTTATGATTCCAGCCAATAAGCTTAATTGATTTATTTGATTTTGAGAGTAGTTTGAACCATTCAAGAACTGCATCACGTTTAAATAAGACCTCAAAGACTCGACCACCACCGTGAGCTATGACCGGATACTTGCGGAGCTCTCGAATCCCTTCAAGTTCGAGGTGAAAATTGCTTTCATGAGCGGCAATTGCACCAAAGACCGTATCAGCAATAAGCTGAGTACATAAAGGGAAAGGTAAACCATGAATAGTAACCAGTAGACTAGACATTTTAGGAGTTAATTTGGTGATAGGATCTAATTCAAATATGAGAAGAGTAGTAGGTTTTTTGAAACCGGATTGATAAGATACAAAGACTCCTTTATCGTGTCGAGGATCCCTTTGAAGACCGTCCTTAGCTTTTAAGTTTTTAAATCTGATTAAGAAGAATCTAGATCCTGATACGTTGACGATTAATTCAATATGATTAATACAATGATTGAGTGTACGTTTGACTTCTTCAAACAAGTTTGATTTAAATTTTTGACTTATGATTGTAACAATAGCCCATAAGTTAATATCGTCGGGACTAACATGTCGACGGTGGTAGAGTTGCCACCATAGCTGAAGTTCATAAGGTAAATCACAAGTAAAGGCGAATTCGTTCTGATACGAGTATTTGAGGGGATTGACCGTATGTAAAGTGAGAGAACCAGGTGAGGCTGATTTTTTAATGAGGAATAGAAGCATTAAGACAATTAATTTAAATGAAGGAATTTGATAAGAACATAAGTTAATTAGATAGAGGTTTTATCAAATGAATATATAGATGAGTTGATTGATATTTAAGTTGAATTTGATTAAAATGAGATTCATAAAAAGGTTTTTGATTGATTAGAAGTGAATTAGATCGATTTAGATTAGGTTATATCATAATTGAATTGATTTAATGTGATGGATTTGATTTGACAAGTTCAAATAGGTAGATATTAGTTTGTGTTGAGAAGGTAAAGTAGAAGAATGGTGTGATCGAATCGGTCGTAGAGATTACATTTGATCAATAGAAGATGATATGGTAAGGTTTTTAGGGAGATAGAGGGTGGTATCGTTAGTCATATGATCCTCAAAGAGTCTATATTGATAGAAAAACTTACGGTATGGTAATCTATTAGTACCAGAGTTGTTTAGATCGTTAGCAGGCGTCCAATTAGGAACTTGAACCTCCTGTTCTTCCTTTCTATCCTTAACTTCTATAGGGATTAATTTGATAAGGAGAGAATAGATTGATGTTAGTGAGTTGTTTGATCGATTAAAGGTCAAAGATAACAAAGATAAAGACTTACCATCAGTCTTGTTAGAGTCTTCCTGAGTGAAAATATCTTTAAGAAGATCCTTATCAGGGTCAGTAGGTTCTTTTTCGTCAGAGAGATCGAAAAGAGGTTTAGATTCGACGTCGTTGTCATCATTATCGTCGGAATCAGAGCTCGAGTCTTCAGAAGATTCAGATTCTTCAGAGCTAGGAGAATTGGCTTTAGTTCTCTTCTTTTTTCTTTCTTCATTCGAGTTAGAAGAAGAAATGGCGGGTTGAGATTGAACTGGGTCGGCGAGATTCATCTCTTCATCTTCTTGATTAGCAGTAGCTGTACTTTGAGCTGGCTGATCAATCGTCATGGAGCTGTTAAGATCAGTCAAGTTGGTAGGAGGTTCGGTGGTTTGGCGTTTTGATAGGGAAGGGGAATCGTATGGCTTGGCCTTCTTAGCGGAAGAAGACCGTGGTCGACGAGGTAAGCCGTTTTTACCGCCGGGAGTGACTTGAGGCCCCATTTTAAATAGCCTAAAGGTGTAGAATTGAGCGTTTAAACAGTTACAAACATCAGTTTTAATCTTATACGTCTAATTTGAATTAATAACGTTATCCAACTTACTTTAGTGGAGTTTTAAGTTGATATAGACTCGGAAAGCTAGGTTTAAAGCTTTTCCTAATGAAAGAAGTAGGTAGAGTGCTCGATCGCACGAAAAGGGGAGCGTAGAGGTGTAAAATCGTGGTGTTTGAGTCTACAGAGAGCCTACAATCGCTTATCTAATAAATTGAGAGTTTTTAGATATTGAGAAACCAAAAGAAAGATTGAGAAATGGGTTCAAAGTGTAGAAAAGAAATGATGAGAGAGTTTCAAGTTGCTAACCTCGTTCTAGATTTTATTAAAGTGTTATGGTGTAGGATAAAGAATAGATAGATGTAGTTTTTTTGTTTGAGAGAAGTGGATGAGAATAGTCCAATGAAATTGAAGGAAAGATTCAGTTTGATTCAGTTTAGATCGAACAGATTTGATTCGAGGGAGGAATGGAATCAAGGAGTTGATTTAGGATGTATACCTTATGTTGGAACTCGAGTTGAATCACTTGTGAGTTTCTCTTCGAGTGGTTCGAGTGGATTCTAAAGGTATATACTTTTGTTAGTAAGGTATGGTATAAGTTTAATGTGAAGGTAGAGAGTATACCCATGTTCTTCAAGTAGATCGGCCAGAAATTCCGGTGTCAGAGTTTCAAAATGAGGTGATTGGGTTATGTTCTTCATGATATCTTGAATTGAACGATCGAATATCCGTTAAAGAAGAAGATTTTGGAATTTTTCTTGACTTTGAGTTTGATAATGATTGACTTGAGTACTCGATCGAGAAAGGAAAGAGTAGTATAGTGAATTGAATTAGAAACTAGTGTCTGATTGGTATATTAGGGACTATTTCTAGCGGTATGAGAAGAAGAAAGAAAGATTCCAGGTCATTCTTTGAGATTTTCCTTCGAGTTTAAGATCTGTTGGTACTAAGATCGAATGATATACTAAAGGATGGATTTTAAGTGGTGAAGGTGAGTTACTAGTTCTTATTCTTAGACTCGATTAAGTTTTTTAAGCTGATATGATTAATTTGAGCTTTAAGTTGAAGAAAAGTGATTGCAGTTTGAGATTTTTAATGTATAGAACTCGTTTAATGAGGTTTGAGTTTTGAGTAATGTTATAATTTCATTTCTCAGTATGTTTTCTGATCGACCGAGCCTATATTTCCAGTAAGAATAGAGAGAATGATGGATTAGTAGGGTCTATCAAGATTCGGATCGGTAGGAATTGTATTAGGTGAATTGTGAGTTTTTGAACTAATTAAACTGTTTGATTTCTGATCTAATGGTGATTCGATTTGAATTTCTTCAGTAAGTAAAGGATTGAAGGGTGATGAGATTGTCTTCTAGTGGTGGATATCTTGTATATCTTGAAGTCGAATCGTTGGGTATATGAAGATCCTTCCTTTGTGTTCTAAAGGAAGGGTTTAGGCGTTAAGGATTGTTGTATATGGTCCTAATACGGGTAGCCCTGAAAATAAGGTGAGATCAGGGCTATGAGGCGGCTGTTCGATCGGGTCGTGTTCATACGGTACCGATACATAGGTTAAAACCTGGGATATCCCCAATGTTAGGTTTTATATAGGGTTATGGGTTTATAACAATGTGTTATAAACCCATGAATAGATGTATAAACATTAGAATGTAATGTATGTCTTCAACGAAATAGTAGTGTATGTGTTAAGGCGGGGACTATGCTATGGCCATGCCAAGTTCTGCAGTGGCCCATGGTTCGAATCCGCTTAACAGCGAGTCCTTTATTTTTGGTGACTTGTAACATTTTATTTCAACATTAGCATGATAGAGTTGTCTTGTATATACAATATATTACGAAGCATATATATATTTTTTATTTGCAGCAGGATAGTGTATATACCTCTTACTATTTTTGGGAGATTCAAGTTTTTAAACATATTTGAACAATAGTGATATGGGGTGTTGTCTCTTTTCTCTAGAGAGTTCTATTCCTATTTTTGTGAATAAGGTGTTTTGTTATATGATATCATATATAACATACTTCAATTTTTTAACAATATGATATTGATTAGTTTTGACCAAACAATGTGTATTTTTGAATTGTTTGATAGTGGATTTTCATACTGGGTATTCATTTATGAAAATGTTTTGTAGAGTGGAGGTGTCTGCAAGGTATTTCTATTACTTAGTAGAACGTATACTCACAGCTACCTAAAAAAGGAAAAGGGGCATAGGGCATAATTTATATTTACAAGGGGCATAGGTTTGGGATCAATTGAAGGTTTTATGATACCTTCTCCCGTCGATGATTACATTCTTGTATATTCTTTTGTGCAATCATTTAAGGTGTCTCCATTTTTTAAATGTGTATACGCTTTTATATATTGAGAACAATATACTTGTGTGTTTTGATTGTGTCATAATATTTGATATTTGATTTAAACAAAGATATACATTTTTGAATCAAAATATACTTATGTATTTAGTGTTTTGGGTGTTATTTTCTTGTTCTTTAACTTGAAAATAAGATGATGGTTTGTGAATTGTGTACTGATTCATATGTGGTTATTTTTTTGAAGTTACAAAAACCAAATTTTTATGTAACTGAGAAACTGTTTTGTGCGTAACACATGGTGTTTTCAGAGGTGGGTATGTGATCAAGTTGTCCTTTTTTTTTTTTTGATTGATTGTAAATTTAAATTTTAATCATCTTCTTAGAGTGTGTTGATATTGTTTACGTAAATCAAGATATATACGTTCTATGTGTTTTTTCTGTGTTGGGAAGAACACATTATTGAATTGATGTATACTCATGTATTTGATGTTGATGAGTGTTTAGTATCTTCTTTGATGTGATAAATAGATGTGATTATGTAGGATTGATTCATATGTTTTTATTTGGAAATAGGAAATGAATTCCTATATATTAAAAAGAAATCAAAGAATGCGTACTCTGAAGTCTTACATTTCTAAAGATGATTATGCGGAAACTCTAATTCCTTGCATGAGCTTCTGTTGTACTGATGTAGGTGCTCATCTCTTCCTTACGCGCTTTGGCGTGTTTTCATTGATGGGGCTTTTACTTACCTTTTTGAACATTGTGTTTATTGTATTGAATAAATACGTATTGAATTCATGTGTAATGGTGTACATAACATAGATTGGAATTTTTCATTTTCTTGGAGCATGAAAATGAAAGTTTATTACATATAATTCACGGAGTGAACCATATATATCCAAACAGTAATAGAAAGTAGATTTCTATTTAAGGTGATAAAGGTACGTAATTTGACGTCTTACCTTTTTAAGGATGATTGTACGAGAATTCTAATTCTTCACAATTGTGTGTGTTGTACTAAGGTAGGTGCTCATCTCTTCCTTGCGCGCTTTGGCGTGTTTTCATTGATGGGACTTTTACCTAACCTTTTGAACACTGTGTTTATTGTATTGAATAAATACGTATTGAATCCATGTGTAATGATGTACATAACATAGATTAGAACTTTTATTTTCCTCTAACATGAAAATAAAAGTTGATTACGTATGATTCACATAGTGAACCATATGTAACCAACCAGTAATAGAAAATAGATTTCTATTAAAGTGATAAAAGTGCGTAATTTAAAGTCTTACCTTTTTAGGGATGTTTGTATGAGAATTCTAATTCTTCTCAATTGTTTATGTTGTACTACATTAGGCGCTCATCTCTTCCTTCCGCGCTTTGGCGTGTTTTCATTGATGGGACTTTTACCTAACTTTTTGAACACTGTGTTTATTATATTGAATAAATACGTATTGAATCCATATGTAATGATGTACACAACCTAGATTAGAACTTTTATTTTCCTTTAACATGAAAATAAAAGTTGATTACGTATGATTCACAGAGTGAACCATATGTAACCAACCAGTAATAGAAAATAGATTTCTATTAAAATGATAAAAGTGCGTAATTTAAAGTCTTACCTTTTTAGGGATGTTTGTATGGGAATTCTAATTCTTCTCAATTGTATATGTCGTACTATATTAGGTGCTCATCTCTTCCTTCCGCGCTTTGGCGTGTTTTCATTGATGGGACTTTTACCTAACTTTCCAAACATTGTCTTTATTCTTTTAAGTAAATCTGTATTGAATCAATGCGTATTGGTGTATATAACATTGATTAAAAACTTTTTTATTTTCCTTAACATGAAAATAAAAGTCGATTACGTATGATTCACAGAGTGAACCATATGTAACCAACCAGTAATAGAAAGTAGATTTCTATTTATAGTGGTAAAAAGTGCGTATTTAACGTCTTACCTTTTCAAGGATGATTATGTTAGAATTCTAATTCTTCATAAGTGTATATGTTGTACTACATTAGGTGCTCACCTCTTCCTTCCGCGCTTTGGCGTGTTTTCATTGATGGGACTTTTACCTAACTTTTTAAACATTTTGATTATCGTATTATATGAATCAGTACTGAATCAATGTGGATTGATGCCCTTAATATTGATTGTTGCTTAATATTTTCCTTGACATGAAAATAAAATGATTACATATGATTCACGGAGTGAATCATACGTAATCATTTAATGATAGAAATAGTGAAATTCTATCATGTTGAAAAAGTGTGTGAAACACTTTTTAAAGTTGTGAGAAATTAAATCTATCACAGGTATTTATGTTTTACTAATTTAGGTGTACGTCTCTTCCTTCCCGCACTTTGGCGTGTTTTCATTGATGTATCTTTTACCTAATTTTTCAAACATCTCAGATTTTGTATTATAAAAATCTTAGTTGAGTCAACAGGTATCAATATATACCCAATGTTGATCAATAGTCAGTCATCTACTAAGATAACTTTTAAGTGGTAGCAGTTTAGACATTGGTATATGTACAGGGAGGACCTCGAGAAGGTACTGCTAGATTGATGACAAGAACTCAATTTTGTTCTTATAACTTAGAAGTCATGTCGGGTTCCACAGTCAATATCAGCATAATCCATATATAGCTCGTATACTTACCTCAGTGTTCTGCTCATTTACATACCTCGAAGTCATAAAGACTCCTACCAACGCAACCTGAAAGAGATGTGCTAAGCCAAAGATGACGTGGGTTTACGCACTTTCCTCAAAGAGTAATCGTGCACAATAGGTCAACAAGCATATAAAAGCATCATCACTCGTCATCTAATGACTGTATGGCTAACTGTGTTATCTGAGCTTGGATTTATACCGAAATTGTCATTTTTGAAAATGTCATGCTGCGTTGCAGAACTAACAATGACCCCGGGGTCTAGGTGATTACTCTATCATAGAAAAAAAATTCTTAAAAGAGAAAAATATAACGATCACCCAGGAAAGTTATAGTTTTCATCTTTTAGTAACACCAATACATGGTTTCACTGTTGATAGTAACTAAGTACCACTCCAGCTAATCCCAGTACCAATGCTACAACCCCCATTTAGAAACCAGTAATACCAGTGTCTGCTTCCAACAAAAGCTGGCCGAAGCTCTGCGATCATCTGAAACATTAGGTCCAACAAAAGCTGGCCGAAGCTCTGCGATTGTACTGACTTAACACCAATAGTACTTACCCCCTGAATCGAGCTAGAGATACACCTAGACCCACTTACCCCGCCAGCATATTATGAAACATAATCTAATATATCTCAATATACGCTATTGGAGCTGGAATTACCGCGGCTGCTGGCACCAGAC